GGGCTCGCAGCGGGCTGTGAGCGCGCGGCTTTGTGCTGGGATGTGCCGCGGGCGCCGCGCTCGCTCGCCCCGCCTGCCTCGGGGAGCCGCCGGTGCCCGCTCCTGAAGCCACTTCGCTCTTCAAGCGCTCGCTCGAGGACCCGGCCCGTCCCCGTCCACAAGCGAGCCCCAGAGGGGTTCGGTGTCCGCTCCATCTTTTGTGTGTGTGCGTTTTTTTCTTTTTCTTCTTCTTCTTTTTTTTAACTTTGTTTTGCTCACTCGAGGCCGGGCCTCTTTGTCAAGTTTAAGAGAAGAGCCAGGAGCTACTCAGCAATAATTGATTCTTGAAAAGTACTCTTTTGGGGCGAAAGCACCGAGCTGGTTTTCTGTGCGAGCCCGATAAATGCTGTTGATGAAGATGGACCTGTTGAACTACCAGTACCTGGACAAGATGAACAACAACATCGGCATTCTGTGCTACGAAGGTAGAGGCCCCTGCTCCGCGGCGGCCCCGGCTCTCGCGAAGGCCACTCCTCCCGAGGGCCCGGGCCCTTCCTCGGGACGCGAGGGTGTTTGGGGGGCCGGCGTTGTTAGCTGCTGTTTTCCGTACAGAGTTTGTTGTGTGTAGCTAAGTAGCCCTCAGGGGCTACAGTGGGAAAACCTGGTGGGGGAGGTGGTGAAATCCAAACTGCTACAAGTTTACTTTGTGTTTGTAACGCAGTAACTTATATTTTCAGCTCCTTAAAATGTATTTCCTGTAGGTTTGTTGCTGTTTCCTTTAGAGGAAAGACTTTTTGGACTCAAGTAAAAGTTAAACGTGTGTGTGTGTGTGTGTTTAAGTGTGTAAGGCAAAGGGAGCTTTGATACTTGAGCACACACCATCCACAGTATCTGTTGGCGCCTACCAGTGCCTTGGGTTTTCGTGTTAAGGGGAACAAAAAGTTACAGTGATTCGTTGCTTTCGGGAGTGATTGTCCCAAACAATGAGGGATTTTTCTGTTCGGTTTGGGAGCCTGGAAGGGCACCCATGTCACCCGGCACAGGCCGGCTCTTTGTCTGACTTCCCACTTCCTGTGCAGCTCGAGCAAGTTCTGACAGTGAAGGATATTCCCTTCACACTCCGGTCTCTGTGGAAAGTGATTTCATAACAGCCAACCAGAAAGCTAAGTTAGAAAGAAAAAAGGCTCCAGATTCTTGTTGTTTATTACCTCCTTAAGCCACGAGGCCTCTTAGGGCTTCCTGGTAGTGTTTCCAGCTGCCCTGGTAGGAGCAGCAGGGAAGGAGCAATTTCTGGATCTGTTGAAACATTATCTACGTGCGATTCGAAGTAGTGGCAATGGCCTGAGTTTCAGTGGCCAGAGCTGCTCCGAGGGAATTGGGCTTGGCAGAAGGAGTGTTTCTTGTTGTAACCACTTACAAATCGGGGAGCCATCTCCTTTCTGATTCAGCAGAAGCAGTTTCCAAGTTTTCTCCTGTCGTCAAATGAGCATTTGTTTTGGAAAAGAAAACACCGAAAAAACTTGGGCGCGTTAGCTGAAACACTTGTTTTGCGTGTGAACCCCACCTTCCTAACCAGTTCGAAACTTACTCTTTATTCTTAAAGGAAGCGGAAAAAATTCATTCGTGTTTCTTATTTCACTCTCTGGATAAGGATCTCATCATTAAAGTTCAAAATAGATTTTTTTTTTACTCCAGTTTGTTCTAGTTGGGAGACTTTGGTTTTGTGCTTTCTTTGAATCTGCTGCTAAGGACATTCAGCTTCTGCACACACTCATTTAAGAGGCATACTTCTGAATACAGGCTACGGAAGTGGCTGGCTTGTTTCCTGTGAAATTAGTATACAGTTGTTTTTTCAAAACTTTATTTTCGATGGGTGAGACGTTCAAAACCTTCAAGACAAGTTCCTGTTGGGTGGTTTTTGTCATCAAGTATTTTCAAAACAGTATTTTCAAAACAAAGCAAAACATAGTGATCAGCCTAAGAGGAATATAGGCATTTAGGAGATGAGGCTGCGTTCATTATTCACGTCACCTTTTGGTGTTAGTGAGGAAAAGCTTAGGAGAAGCAGCCCTGGGTGATTTGTTGCTGTGAGACCTGAGAGCCACCTTCCAGCCCCCCCTCCTTGCTTGGGAGAGAGAAACTTTGGTTTTGAAAGTTGAGTAGAGGGAGGATGAGATGCTGTAGTCTGTTTGGCTTAAACATCTGCTGCTATTTTCCTTATGATGAAAGTTAACATTATTTTAACACCAAAATAAATACACAGGAAATGAAGAAAAGCACAGCAAAATTTGAGTGGTGTTTATAGTGGATTGTTTATGTCCCAGTGGTTTTCTTGGGGTAAACAATACACACATCTGCTCTGAACTCAGAAGGGTGTTTTGAAGAATATAAATCGTAGATGGGATTTTTGGGAGTGAATGGGGAATAAGAAAAGTTGGAACAGCTATTGTTCTTTTCTTATAAAAATCTGGCACTTGGAGTATTTGAATATGGAATAGAATATTCCTCTTGGTTGCCCCGCCCCCAAACCCCCTCCCAGCTCCCTGGCATTCCAGAGCAGTTATCTGGAAAGTGGAATGTACAGTTGGTAGGCAGCTTTTGATTTCACTCCAGGCACAGGCCAGTGTGACACCTCTTACAAGTAAGGGACAGGTTAATTTTCTGAATTTTAAAAATTAAGATGTTGACTGCAAGTTAGTGTTAATACCCCATTCAGCTATACTGTACTCCTTAGACAAAACCCTGCTCCTCAACAGCCCGTGTGCGCCCACCCCTCTTACCTCCCCAGCAACTCAGGCGCCGACGGGGTTTTTAAGACAATAACCTTGTAGCGCACAAGGTCTTCTTACAGTGTCACTTTTTGAGTGGGCTTGGGTCTGGGTTGTGTGGTGACCAGGTTCTGCTTGGTGACCAGGTTCTCTGGTGCCTAGTGGCTGGCAAGCAAAATAGGAAAGAAAATATTAACTACAAGTCAGTTTGAGATGGGGTCCTCTTGGGGTCAGAGGAGGAGGAGGTTGGCACAGAGCAAGAAGAACCTCACTTTGGCTACCTTCTGGAACTGCTTCATCGGTGGTGAGCAAACCAGCAGAACCCTGCTTCTCTTGATGTATATCACTGTGGCTCATTGCTGTTCACCAGCTTAATGCCCAAATCAATGTTCGAATTGTGCGCACCTGAAGCCCAGCCTGCCTCCACATGCATTAACACCTTAACTCCAGCCCTTAATCAGAGATCCCTGTGATCCCCAGAAAAGACAGCACTCCATCTGGAAGCTTTCTGAAGGCAGGGCCTGGCCGAGCTGGCTGGGCTCAGAGTGGCTGACTCTGGGACCCCAGCGCTCTCCATTGGCAGCTGCAGTTGGCTGCTGTGTAATTTAGCACTAATTACATACTGTCTTGTGTTCTCTAATTATCTAATTACTGCAGAGGGGCCTAGACATCATCTAATACGTTAACTTTGTTTTGGCCAAGGAAACTGAGGCCCAGGGAGGCAAGTTGTTTGCTTAACTTGATTCAGAAAGTTTGTGGCAGAACTGGATTTCAGGGGGAAATCAAGTGTCTTCTACCAGCCCTATTCTTCTGTGCCATTCTGCCTCCAGAGTTATTTTCTGCCTTGACTCCTTGACTAATTATTAACTTCTTGACCTTAGGGATCATGCTACATCTCAGGGACCCTCATGGCCCCTGAACAAGGGTAACACCTTGGATTAAATGCCCACACAGGCCGTCCTGGGTCTCTGACGTACAAGTCAGTTTCTGGTTCAGCCTCTCGGGCAGGATAGGGTAACAGTGCCCGGGGTGATCTGCCTCCTTGGCTCTCCTCAAGGCTGGGCACCTGGCAAGGCATTGAGTTGGAGGCCCCTTGTTGATGCCACCTCACAGCAATCCTTCCCCCAGGAGGCAAGGAACTGGCCAGCCCAGTGACTTTGGTCAAGATGGCTGACAGTTGTATTTACATAATTACCTGCTGCTGAAAACTTAGGTCCTAATAAATGTGTTCCTGGTGGGCTGTGGCTTTAAGCTGCTGTTAGTGATAAGTTAATTATGGGTTAAGAATCATTAGTGTGTAATTTGGTAGAAGAATTCCCCCCCCCTTTTAACTTAATAGTGTGATTTATATTGGGAGAAAGTAAGAATAAATTGCATATTATGTTTGTCTAAAGCTTAAGAGTCTGCTGAGTTCCTCAAATTTCGGAGCTACTCACTGTTTTAGAGCATAAGTAGCCCTTGTTTTTATCACAGGTGACACTTAAATTAACTTTCTGGAATTGAAAGGAAAGTACGCATGAGAGTTGGTGTGCTGAGTGAGACCCTGCTAAGGATAGGGGTGACAGCTTTTGTTTTCTGCCAGTCTCACCAGCAGCAGCAGTTTGATGTTTTATCCTTCTTTGGCTAATGAGCTCAGAGGCATCAGGAAACTTCAGAGTTTGGGTCCTATTAAGGTGAAGAGGCCATAGAGCCCTGCGCCACCAGCCCCTGGTGCTCAGCCCTCATGTCAGTGCCCACTCCTGGTCCAGGGGGTGTTCTCAGGTAGAATACTTGCGATTGTTTTGCTGTAGAAATTAATTTTACTTTCGCTGTTTACTTTGCGTGCACATGTGCGCACACACACACACACCCTCCCCCATTCACACACATACCCTCCTCCACCCCAGCCTGTCCCCCATTCACACACATACCCTCCCTCTCCCTCCCCCACCCCTCCCTCCATTCACACACTTACCCTCTCCTACCCGACCCCTCCCTCCATTCACATATATACCCTTCCCCACCCCAACCCTCCCCCATTCACACACATATCCCCCCTCATCTAACCCTCCCCCATTCATCAGGTGAGCCCAGGCTCTCCTGAGAAAAACCTGGCCAGTTTGTGTTTCTTCTAATCACAGTTTGTGGAGGGAAGGTGTGATTATACCCCATTTCCTCCGAGCTACCCCATCCTGGTTTCTCTGCCCTCTTCTGGAAGGATTGTTTTACTTGGCTGTTCATCCCCTGGAGCCTCCTTTAGGCTTTGTTTTGGAAGGCAGAATTCTCTTCCTTCCTTCCTTCCTCCTTCCCTTCTCTATTGTTTGTATGGCCTTCTGTTCCTGGGGGTTTGGTGCTGTGAAGGTTTTTTCAGGCCATGCCCAAAGGTACAGCAAACACCCCTCAGCCCATGGGAAGGCTCAAAATCTCTCAGGACAGCCTGGCTCTGCTCCACTGTGAGGATGGTCAGAAAGTGGGGATTTGGCCTGATGAAAGTAGATCCAGACTCAGCGTGTCAACATGTACACAGATTCGGGAACCAGCATTTACCAGGGACTGACTGTGGCCGCTCTGTCCTACCACCGTGTATCTTCGCACTGGTCACTGGCTGTTTATAGGTGCTGCTATTGCTGCCTTGCAGATTGTAGCCTCGCTCAGAACCTCAGTTTGTGGTAGAAGAGAATCGTCTTCTATTTGTAACTAACTCATCTATTAGTCCTCCCCAGCCCCAAGGCCTTAAC